GAAACAGATTCACATCCCTAATTCACCTAATTAAGTAAATGAAATTATAGCAACCCGAGTAACAAACCGAATAACTGAATGAAATAAACTTTATATATGCTAATAATTGTAGGCTAGACATGTTTGTAGGTTCCAGTTTGGATGGATGTGATGTCTGATGAGGTGGAAAAGCCAGCCCTACTTTCTATGTTTGTCAGACTGTAGTCTGGACTTCATTTTACAAACAACATGAGCCATCCTGAGGCATATTTCTCAACAGCCTGGGGGACAGGAGAGGGAAATGCATGGAAGCTCCATCCAATATCCTCATCATTCAAAGGCAGAGCCAAACTCACCCCCAGGCTCTTTCAAACAATCAACGCTTTGTTTGGCAATTCTGATCTCTGTGCTGCAGGAGGAACTGGACAGCCCAGGTCACTGTGATATGTCCTTCGCATTCTGTCCTAAGCAGTGGAAAGTTAATGCCACTGCTCCAGCAGTGTGGAAGTCTGACCTTTATAACATTCCTGCAACAGTCCCGGGTGCGTTATTCTTACCTATTCTGTCTACTGCTCCCTGGAAGATGGGACTTCTACTAAGAAATGATGCCAGAAGGTCCTCAGTGGCATCCCTTCACCCTGGCACAGTAACAACGACAGCAAGATACAGAATGAGCAAGCTCCTTTAATCTACTCCAGAAATTCTTCTTGGCTACTGTGTCTCCACCAACCTAGTCCTTTTTCAGTATGGAAAGTAATTTTCTACTTATCACCCAGTCTATTAATTTTCCAAATAATCTGTTCCAAAAAGGAGGGCAGGGTATTAGCACCCAGGTTAATATGCCTTGTGATGGGCATCAGGACAACTATCTCCCATGAAATGTAGCGAGTTTATTGTGACATTTGAGAGAAAGGCCAGTGGCCAGAGGATAGTGGTGATAACGTTTTTGAGAAAATCCATACTAGGTGGGATGGAGTAGTCAAGGCTAGATGAAAAACTCCTTAAGGTAACTGTAAACATGTAACATATGAAGAAATATCTGGTCCTTTCATTATATTCACGCTGTTGGCCTTTCCCAGCGATAGTTAAGGACATTAGAATGGCTGTATAGTTCTTCAACATGTCATCTCTGAAATTTTAGGATACTCAATGGCCTTTACCCATATCAGTTTTAATGTAATCATATCTTTAATATACAAGTAAGAATCTCTTGGGAGATAATATATGTATCAACATACATGTGGTACTTGCTGAGTGAAAAAGCATTTCTTATATATACAATGGAATATTACTCACACATGAAAGGGTTATCCTTTGATTTGTGACACATAAATAGACCATGAAGTTATGATGCTAATGAAGATAAGTCATACAGAAAGAGACAAAGACCATGGTATCGCTTTTTATATGAAAGCTACTGAACTTGTAGAAACAGAATAGAATGGTAGAAACAGTGTTAACTCACAGTTAGATCATGAAATCTAGTAGACATTATAGTCATTTCCCCAACAATACTGTGTTACCAATGGCAAATGTCATGAGACTAGATCTTCAGTTCTCTCACCACAGAACAGAAATGATAATTCTGTGATATGATAGAGGTATCAACCAGTACTATGGTTGATACCTTGGTAAATGTGTCAAGTCAATACATGGACACCTGAAACCTGAAATTTGAGAGGGCAGCTGGTGCCCAGCTGTGCAGGGTCTCCTAGGCCATATTCAGGACCTTGTCACTTCTGCAAATGTACCGTTTTAAGCAGGGCAGTGTCAGAATCTGGTTTGGATTTGGAAAGATTAGTTCTATGTGATAAAGTGCTATGTGATAAAGAATGAACTGGGGAGACCAGTTGGGAGTGACTGTGGAATGCCTTCTCGAATAGATATCTGTATTTATAGCTACTCATATCAGTATCTCTGTCTCCTGATGAAGGCAGAGGCAGGCTTACAACTGAAATGTGCCTCTCTGAGATGCCTCGTGGGCCACAGAGTAAATGGTTGAGCATGCACCCCCTTTTCCTATCTAGGGGCATCAGCAGCCATGTTCCTTTCTCTCTCTGACCTCGGTTTATGGTTTGCTTTCTGAGACCCAGTGGCACACGGAGTCCTGGATTCAAAGCTCTGGCTTTGTCTACCCTCTTAGGGTGAAACAGGGAAAATCCACCCCTTTCCACTGTACGACCCCACAGGTATCTGAGCACACAGAACGCACTAAATGGAATGGTGAGAAGGATAACACAAGCTTTCCCTTTCCACCTGCTCTACAGAATGAGGAACTGTTCATTTTTCTGTGTATGACCTGCTTTCTGAAGATGAAAGTATCAAATGACTTTGATGCTTCCTCTTTCTTCTCCTCCTCCTCATCAGAATCCCCTGCTCTGTGGAAAAAGCTTGGCAGTGATTGACAATAACCCTGATCTCTCTGGCCAGCTCTCCAAGTCCTGGTCAGGCAGCTGTTCGTGTCCTGCCAGACCATACCTTGAGCTTCACACAGGACCCCGTTGGGTAAATTCTCAGTTATGGATATTTCCACCAGAGTCTTGTTTATACCCTGGTGGCCTGAGGAGCTCAGATGTGGCTTGTTCCATCTGGACTTTGGTGTTTGCTGTCGTTTATTTCTCACAGCACAGCTTTTTTTTTTTTTTTTTTTTTTTAAGATTTATTTATTTATGCATATAGAACTGGGATGCAGGACAAAAATACAGGGACAATGAGAGACTTCACCAGAGACAGACCTGGGAGCAGAACAAGTAGATTGACAAAGTACACTGCTGAGGGGAGAAGTGGGTGGGTCAGGAGAGGTCTGCCACACCTCCAGGGCCAGGGATTGAACTGGCACTGAGTTGACTGCAGCCAGGTTTCAGTGCTGTGTCCTATCCATTGTGCCACCAGGGAGGACCCTCACAGCATAACTTTTATTTATTGAACCTTTGTGCTCAACATTTCAGGATTCTGGGAAAAATCTAAAAGAAACATTAAACTCACAATGCTGCATCACATCTGGGCCTAAGTAGTAGACTTGGGGTCATAATCAGCTCTGCTGCCTGGGAACCTTGCTTTGAAGCCTAATACAAGGTACTAAGGCAAACTGCAGTTTTCCAGCTACTTAAGTTCTTATATTTCATGACCCCAGAAACATAAACAGGGTAAAGGGGTAACAGTTCTGAAGAATAGTTTCACACGAGGATCTAAACTTTGGGGTATCAGCAAATGTGGCTTCTTACCCAAGCCAGAGTCACAAGTGTGCTGAGAAATTGATGCCCTGGACTCTGGGGTGGCTGGGCCATGAGATGCCACCTCTGGGCTTGAGCTGACTCCTTCCGTTGCCCCTGTGTGCACGGAGGTCTACACTTTGTGTGGCTTAGCACAAAGACGGCCAGATGCGACAGCCATCCGTGCAGCAGCAGCCGGCTCTCAGGATCTGCGTCCTCTGTGAGATCCAGTGAGGACCTCTGAACTCTCGATTTCTTATGCTCCCAAGTTGAACTAGTGTCTGCATGGGGCCAGCCAGCAGAGGAATCCTTCTCCATGCTGAGGCCTGCGCTCACTGCGCTGTGTCTGTGACCTATGTTGGAAGCAGGCCTTCTCTGGGCGCTGGGATCAACAGCATATGGTGGCTTTTAGGATCCCTCAAAATAGGAGGGAAATATAGGCTTAGAAAATATACTTAGAAAATATACTTCTAGTGACAAGGCTCTCACTCTCTATTAGCCAGTAACAGGGAGAAGAGTGTGAAAAAGAAAACATTCCTTTTTTCTGGCTTCCTGCCATAACCCAGTAAGGAGTCAGGTCAACTGAAATGTCTGCAGCCCTATGACAGTCTCAGCATCAGCGTCCCAAGGGGAACAATCAGATGGCAGCAGCTTATCTAGGCTGCATTTTTTAGTGTCACAGTTGCACCGATTACCCCTATAGCCCACAATAATTTGTTTGTCTAATATGTTTTTCATGCTTTCCATAAAGAATAATAGAATTTCAGAGCTGGGATGAACGTTAGGAACAAGTTCCTAAAACATCATGCATTTGATAGGTGAGGCGGGGGGGGGGGGAAGGAAGGGGTGAAGGGGTTCACTCGAGGTAACCTGGACCATTTGTGACCTGTCAGAGGTAACTCACGTGCTCCCCCACACCAGCTCATGGCAGACATCTCCCCAACAGTATTTGAGTTCAAGTTCAGTTCTAGATCTTGAATTCAAAGATATCTGTGTTGATGTTCCATATATGCTAAATGTCTTTTTCTCTTAAAAAGTTTTAGAAAAAAGTGATTAAAGAATTCTAGGTCTTTATTGCATGCCTCTTGGAGAGGGGATATAAATTCATTTAAAAAATAATATTCTGGGCCCTCCCTGGTGGCACAGTGGGTAAGGACGCACCACTGCAAGCCAGCCGTAGTGGCTTCAGTGTGAGTTTGATCCCCAGCCAGGGAGGTGACCCACATGGTGCAACAGACCTCTTCTGACCTGCCTGCTGCTCCCTTCAGCAGTGTACTTCATTGATCTGCCTGTTCTGCTCCCTAGTCTGTCTAGTGAAGCTTCTCACTGCCCTTGAACCTCTGGCCTGTACTCCATTTCTGTATGCATAAATAAATAAATCTTTAAAAAAAATCATGAAAAGAAAACTAAGATTCTAGGCTGCATATGCCTAACAGGGAAACTATTGCTTTTTCTTTACTAATCACACCCATCCCCAGCCTTTTTCATAATAGCAAGTGCTGTCATTTACCCATGAGGTATTGTATACGACACTTTGCAAGTATTTCCAACCCTCTCAAGAACCCTATGAATTGACATTATTATTATTTCCACTTTACAGATGAGGAAATTGAGGCTTCCAAAGTTTAAATAACTTGCCTCAAATAACATAGTGAGGTGAAGTGTGAGATGACTTCGTTTTATGAGTCCAAGTGCATAATCTTCCCACTTAGAAGTTCGTGTAGCTTTCATGCTGCACCTCACTGTGACCCAGAAAGACCCACCCTATAGCCCCTCTGTTTTGTGCAGAGAGAATGAACCTTTGTCTACCTGCAAAATTCTCCTTCCGATTCAGGTAGCAGCAGTGAGGCCATGGGGTTCTTCATCAGATCGGCGACTACAGGGTCCTTGGGTGTCACATAGAAGAAAGGAATCCCGGTGCTGTTGCTTATGGGGCCATCGCTGATGGGCAGGCAATTTCCAAATGGCAGTCCAGGGATCTAACACACACCAAGAAATACTTTATCCATGCAGCATTGTGGGCTGACCTTAGTGGGGAGTTTATCTTGTATTTCTGGACAAAGAACACAGCAGCAGGGTTGTGACGGGAACATGGTATCATCATGATTTTGACAGATCATTAGCTAAGTCAAAGTGGTTTCCAACTTGCCTATTCACCCAGTGATGACTCCAGAATTTCTACTGAGGGATTCAGCTGTAGCATTCTCTTTGAAAGGGCTGGCTAGGGGAATATGCTTGAAGCTACATGATCATAGCAAACACACTCATATAAAATTTGAAGATGGCCCTCCCTAGTGGCGCAGCGGGTTAAAGCACAGCACTAAGAAGCTGAAGCCACTTCCGCATGAGTTCGATCCCCGCCTGCCCCGGAGGTGACCACATGGCGCGGCAGACCTCTCCTGACCGGCCCGCTGCTCCCCTCAGCAGTGTACTTCATGGATTGCCCTGTTCTGCTCCCCACTCTGTCTCTAGTGAATCCTCTCACCCTACGCATCTCTGGCCTGTACCCCAGTTCTGTATGAATAAATAAATCTTTAAAAAGATAAATAAATATATAAAATTTGAAGTTATTTTGAAGACAAGAAATGAAATTTATGGAGGGGGGAAGATCTTCTAAAACTCACAGGCTCCTCCTGGGAGTTCCTACCTCTCTCAAATACTTGGCAACTTTGGGGATGAAATTTAAGCCTTAACTTTATTTAATATCTTATTTGGTCTTTGGACTATGGAAACTTTCTATTACTGTTTCATTTAGGTTCATACTACATTCCTTTTGTTGGCCCCTCCTTTTTACTATAGTCAATAACGTTTCATTAAATAATTCAGCAACTTACAGGAAATGGGTTTTTTAGTGTAAAGGAAGTCACAGCAACATGCTACAGTGATTTTTATTTATGATCACGCAGCAGAGTGAGTGAAATTCTCAGACACAGATGCATCTGTTCATTGGGTTTTCCCAAGTGGTTGCTGGATCCAGCATTTTGATCTTCCTGAGCTGTATAGTTTACAGAGTTCTCCACAACTCAGAGCTCAGGGATTGTCTTTGTCTTAGAAGTGTTGCATGACAATGTTTTAAGAAAACAATGCTAAGGAATCCTCCAAAATGGAACTATAAGTTCATTCACAGATTCTATTTTTCAGTTTGTCTTCAACTGCCCACCATCATGCTTTGCATGCATGGTCAATACAAAGAAATGTTCTCTGAATTTACTGTTTGGATTAAATGTCAATATTGTAAATAGGAACTCCTAACAAGAGAAAATGTTTAAAGTCAAAATATCTGAATATCTTTGGCATTTAGTCTTTGTTTCAAATGATGTGTTTTAAAATAAGTTTAGCTTCACATTTAAATTTCATATGTCCTTAATGTGTGTTTTAGGAGCATAAGAAATAATTGTAGAAGTCTTCTGGATGCTGTCATTACCCAATAGGCTTTGGATCTAGAGCTAAAGAGGTAGTTATTAATGCCATAATTAGAATAAGATGTTTTGATATATGTTTTATAACAGTTTACTTTTACATCATTTTGTACATGACATTTCGATATTTTTTAAAGCCAAAAGACCATGAAAACTACCTAGTCAAACAATTTCATCCATGAGGAAAGCAAAGTGAAAAACCCAGAGATTTAGTCACAATCTGTGAGCTGGTGAATCCCACAGCTGGGGCAAGCACCTGTCCTCTGGCCAATGACCAACAAGGTCTATAAAATATTAAGATTTTTTTGTTTCACGAGAAATAAGAGTTCGAATTATTTCCTGTAACAAAAACTTACATCTCTCTTACCACCCCTAAAAGCTTTCTGGAGCCTGTATATTTATGGGCTTCACATCTTCATCATTTATCCCATGTTATTTTGTCTCACTGGAATGTCTAACAGATAAGACATCTGAACTGACACAAAAACTGCAACTACCAGTTCATTCTGCATTTGTACACTATACACTAAGCTCTTTTAGACTTTGCACAGTAAACCTTTCCCCCCAAAGCCTGAGTTCTAGTTTTTAAAATATAAACTTCCACGAAAACCCTGGTGATGTCTGTCGCCCAGCTAGGGCTTCTTTGAGTGTCTGTCTGTAAATGAAGGGGAAGTTCGGGTCTACAGGAGAGGGCTGAGGACTGTGTGAAGCCAGAGGTGTATGTGTATGTGTGTGAGGTGGCAACGGTGTGTGTGTGTGTGTTTGCTCAAGCGCTAGTTATTGACTACTCAGGACTTCAGTCCCCAAGCCATCTGGAAGCCTGGTCGTTTGTCACCCCTCTTCCACCACCATCACTTAGCCGCATCACAGGAACACAATCTTGCTCCATCGTTTAACTATGTGACCACTACCCAATCACGCCCAATAGACCTGTCAGATCTGCATGGAAGGATGTGAGTAGTCACCAGTCTCCCTGTGTCTTGGGCACGCAGCCGCCCAAGAGCCAGGCCATGCGAGGCACGCACCTGCAGCGTCCTCTTGGCTGGGTGTCTTACCTTCTCGTGGGTGGACACGGTGGCCAGACAGCCCCAGGCGCTGGCGTGGGCCAGGAAGCGGGCGGTGCCAGGGCGCAACCTGGGGCCGCTCTCGCGCGGGTAGGAGAACATCCCGGGAGGCGCAGGGGGCGGCCTGGCGCGGGCGGAACCCGCGGGGGGCGGCAGGTGCGAGTCTTCCTTGTGAGCCGAGGCCGGGAAGCTCTGCTGCCAGATGCTACCGGAGTCCTCCAGCATCGCTGGCAGCGCTTCCTCGGTGGAGGTGCTGTCCAGTTCCTCTTCCACCTCGTTGGTGACGGCCCAGGACACCGAGCTCACGATCACATAGCCCGCGGCCGGGGTCAGCAGGGCGCTGCAGCAAAGCAGCCAGAAGAGGTGGGTCCCGGGCCGCACCTGCAGTTGGCCTCCGCGCACCGACATCTTGCAGGCGGCGCGCCCTGCCTGGCGGGACCGCCAGCAGCTCGCCAGCGGCCAGAGAGGGCGGCAGCGCCCCCCTGCGGCGGACGCGGGGAGCTGGCCCCGTTCCCACAACCGCAGGACTCCTGGATGGGGTTCCCAAGCGCTGGGGGTGGGGTAGGGATGGGGAGGTGGAGGTGGAGGTAGGGATGGGGGTGGGGGTCCTTTCAGCCTCAGGCCACGCTGAGAAGTCAAGGCTCCTGAAGAAGGAGCAGATTCCACTCGACCGCTACGCGTGCTGCACCCGTGGTGAACAGGGTCCTCCTCGTCCTGTGTCCCTGGATGGGATCTTTTCCTGCTGGGTGGCTCAGGTTCTGCAGCCAGACGGTGGGCGGTCAAATCCTGGCTCAGAACACTCCTCCACTTACCAGCTAACAGTTCATTACTCCATTTAGACATTTCGCGTATCCTGCCAAGGCATTTAACTATTCTGTGCCCTAATCCTTCATTAGAAAGTGAAGTATGCAGTAGAACTTAAAGCGGTGAGGCAGGGGAGGGTTAAATCAGTACATTTTTGGAGAGACTTGGAACAGTGCTTGGCAAGAAGCAAATAATTATATTTTGTTAGACATAAAGATAGAGCTTGTTAGCATGTTATATAGGAGAAACCGACTAAACGGTGAGGGTGAAATTAGCACATAGCCCATTCTTTTGCCTGTAAAGACATTGGCCATTTTACACTTTACTATGACAGGAGAGAGGGAGGGCAAAGCGGAATGGGGTTGTTCACATATAGACGAAAATAAGTAGCCGCCTGCACCCAGAGAGAAGGTGGCAGGCAGAATGTGCAGGACATTCCATGCATGTACCAGGATTTTAAAGCATTTTTTAAATTGATAGACATTTGGGTTGTTTCCATTAATAAAGCTTTTATAGATTGCAAAATAATTAAGTTTGAGCAAAACAAAAATTCTGATTTTGGAGACTCCCTGGTGGAGTAGGGGTTAAGTGTCTGTTCTTTGGCTATCACTGCTGAGGTCTGAGTTCCATCCCCGGCCAGGGAGGTGACCCACATGGCACACAGACCTCTCCTGTCTCCCCAGCTGATCCCCTCAGCAGAGGATCTGTTTGTTCTGCTCCCCACTCTGTCTTTGATGGATCCTTTCACCCCTTGCATTTCTGGCCTGTTCCAGTTCTTCTATGCATAAATAAATAAATAATTCTTTAAAAATAATTCTTGAAAATTATGTAGTTTCTAATTTATGCTTACGGGATCCACAATCTGCCTTAGTAGGAGATATTTTTTTCGTCTGTAGATTTTCTGCCTGGTATCTAGTCCTCTTCAGATTTGTTGTGGATCTAAAGAAACTGACCTAGCACTAGACTACAGAGATTTTGGAAAATGTTACATTCTGTGGTAAGGAGAAGGTCCACTGTATACCCTACCTAACTCTGTCCTTTTCCCTGCCATTCAGAGCTTTTTTCTAAAGAAAGTCTTCTTAATATCCTCAATGCTTTCCAAGCTGGCCCCCCCAGACACCCTTTGAGGCGTGACCTCTTTCCGGACTTTATCTCATGAGGCTTCCTGCAGCTTTCCACATGTTGGCCCTTCTCTCCTCTTCCAGATCTTTTCCTACTTTTCTTTTCCACTCACTTGTGCCTTGGCGACCTCGTTACATGTAGCTTGACAAGCTAATTTTTCCCCTTTAATGCTTTCTTTATTTCTCCCAGTCATTGGGAAGATGAGCTCCATAATGATGGAGAAGCAATATTAAAAGCATGGACTCTGGATTCAATTAAATCCAAACCTTGTTCTATCGCCTCCTAAACATCCCTGAAAAATGAAGCCTTACATTTATCTCACTGGGCTGTGTGGTCACAGCAGGGGACATCAGATGGGAAGTATTTTAAGCTCAGAGATGTAAGTCCTCTAACCTTTGTATTCAAGAAAGGGAATGGAACATCCATTCCAAATTGAATCGAAAATTTGGAGGATATTGCAGACTTTTGGCTGTCTCCTCACTTCTGCTTCCTTTTGGGAGAGTGACTCATCTGATAGATGAGTTTGGGAAAAGGAACTCAATGTGCTGCTCAGTGTCTGTGGGGTTTTTCTTTTTCCTTTCCAAAAACTCTGTCCACTGTTATCTTCTGCCTTGCCTGAGCTGGCTGGACCCTGGAGGAGTATATGTTTGCCCTGTTTTGTGACCGAAGGAATAAATTCAATTGTGTAATTTAGTAGAGTACTTGTTGGTCAAAATTTTCCCAATTATCTTTCTGATTTTGATGTTTTATTTCCCACTTGGACCAAATGTCAAAAAAGACTGAAGAGGATGAATAATAATCATTTTCAAACTCCATCACATAACGTGTGCCAGGGCTTAGTATAAACTCAATAGATGTAGCCATTATTATTTGTGGACAGTTCCCCATGAATATCAAACTGGTCATTCACACTCAACTTTTGGGGGACAATTCTCTTTGGATTTCTTCCATTCTTCAGACTCCAGGTCTCTTAGAATATTCTTGATAAGCTAGATATTGTATATCCTTCTCAAGAAATTTAGAGACGCATTTCCTCAGAGACACTCCCAGTAGTAAAGATAAAACCCTTCCTTTTCTCTCCCCAGCGAGATTTGTTTATGTTTCAGGGTATTACCAGCAGCTATGAGAGGAACCCTCTCTCATAACTTCAGAGTTCCTCTCCATAGACCGTAACCCATGACCTTCATTGTGTCACTTGCATAGATGGGGTGATGGGAACTGATGTAAGATATAACATCAGATATGTACTGCAATAGGACTCTCCCAATAGCAAATTCTATCAGGTTAAAAAGAATACTGATAAATACTATATGTTTTCAGAAAATAGGCTGCAAGAATGTGGGTTTCCAACTCACTATTATGATGTAAATTTATGTTTCAGGACCTAAGTAGATATAACTTATATTACCATGAAGGAAAATTGATTTTTCTCTTTGTGTAAGCAGCACACTGATAATCACAATGTGCCCAGGGTGGGGCAGGGGGCAGGGTGTTTGTGGTTAGGGGTGGGGTGGGTGGGGAGGAGCTTCTGTCTGTGCTTTATGTCAAGTTACTTTGTAATAATGCCATCATGGATGGGGGTGGGGTATACTCTTGATCAGGGTTCACTGCTACACAGGTGACCTCGAGCGGCTCATTTCTGCCAGGATACTGTGTCCCTAGTGGAACATTTGGGAGTAATTATTTAGACATTATCACTGACATTGAGTTGAACTTGAAAAAGTAGATTCAAACAGACTGAAAACTCACTGACACTTCCTATGTCCACACCCTTTTCTAGTGCCCTCTGTATTTTGGTCAATAGGCCAGGAACATGTTGACACAAGCAGGGGCATGAAGTTGTGCTTGTGTGTCCCACTTCCCCTCTTCTGTAATGAGAACATGCACAAGCTAGTCTGTTGGAGGGAACTGGGAGCCACACAAAGGAGGGCTGAGTCATCCCAGACCAGCCAGCCCTCTGGTTGCCTATTAGAGGCAGCAGAAGGCTGTGTGGAGCCAGTGGAGGTTCCACAGCCCAGGTCAGCACAACAGTCCATGCCAGGAACAATCTCCAGTAATTAAAATGTCCAATCCAGTGCAATAGCTGAAATGTCAAACTTTATTAAGGGTAAAAGCTTCTCCCTTCTCCTGGCAGTGAACGACATTAGGTCTTGAGGGCTTTGATTGGGGAGGTAGATGTGATTCAACGTCTCATCTCATCTCAAAGAGAAGAAAAATCAAGAGCTGTCGATGGTGGGCGTAGAGCCATTCCCACACCATTCATTGACCTGGCAGCTTTTCACTTTTCCTGGACCCCCCGTGTGTTGCTTAGCCACTCTCCCAGGGATTGTGCGGTACAATCCCTGCAATAGTACGGAATACACCTCCATGTGATGCCTGCTAGTTTCTAAAATATATTTCAAACATCACATGTGCAGAAAAATAATGAGTTGAATTGTACACTCTGTGATACATTTTCACAAAGTGAATGCACCGTGTGGCCAACCACTAAACCAAGAATTGGGACACCAGGAAGGCCCTAGAACTCCCTTTCTCCCCTAAGTACCTGCCTTACTCCCTAAAGTCTAACCCCACAAACATACATTGACATTGTTTCCTTGATAAAGCAGATTGAATTTTTCCAGAACAGAGAGTCCTCTGCTAGCTCCCAGGAAATCAGTGTACCTCTAAGTATAAAGGAAAATCTTGTTACTTTGGTTCCTTGGGTCAGCCTACCATCTGTCTTCTACTTACTTGTGAGCAAATAATACGCAAAGTCACTGAACAGTGTGAATAAAGGAGTAGGTCTGTTTATTCTTTGACCAATAACTACTCCGAGGTAGCTTGCAGAATGAGGCAATAGGTCCTCCCTGGGGGGGCCAGGGGTTAAGACTCAGCACTATGAAGCAACCCGCAGTCACTGCAGCACTGAGTTCAACCCTCCATCAGGAAGGTGACCCGCATAGAAGGCATAGGAAGGCTAGACCCCTCCTTTTTGCCCTCTGCTCCCCTCAGCAGTGTATTCCAGTCAATCTGCCTGTTCTGCTGCCCATTCTGTCTCTAGTGAATCATACCCCCTGCACCTTTGGCCTATACCCCAGCTCTTGTATGCATAAATAAATAAAAAATTTTAAAGAATGAGATAATAGATTAATGTAGCAGTAAAGGGTTCTAAAATGATTCCTTTTTTTAAATTTATTTATTCATACAGAACTGGGGTACAGGCCAGAGATGCGGAGGGTGAGAGGATTCACCAGAGACAGAGTGGGGAGCAGAACAGGCAGATCGACGAAGTACACTGCTGAGGGGAGCAGCGGGCGGGTCAGGAGAGGTCTGCCACGCCATGTGGATCTCCTCCAGGGCAGGCGGGGATCGAACTCATGCGGAAGTGACTCAAGCCTCTTAGTGCAGTGCTTTAACCCGCTGCACCACCAGGGAGGGCCCTAAAATGATTACTTTTTTAAACAATAACGACAAATGCTAAATAAACGTAGTCACATACAGTTCTTGGGTTTCTTTAACATTTTCATGCATTTAGGGGAATTTAATTTCTTATAAAATCTTATATCAATAAAACATATTATCTCCATTTATCCAGAAATCATGGTAAGCATAAAGTGTTGAATCCCTTCTAACATTATAATCAGTTACATCAAAATGGATCTAGTTTAACGATTATTCTTAGTTTCAACATATTTTAGGATTCAGCAACAAAGAGGAAATAGAAAGTAATGGAAAGCAGGACATCCTCATTTATTATAGACATTATTGGGTTCTAAACTACCTCACTTTAAGAATTTTCAATAGTGAACCAGAGAAATGTGGAATGATTTAATGGACCATGAGTAGATCTAACAGTGGTATCAAATTGCTTTTTTTCCCCTGTCCTTCACTGCCCGAGGGGATCTTTCTACTTACTTTATTTCAATTGGGGGCACTACCAAGGGGAAGAAAAATATTACCATTGGCCTAATACCGATTGTACCAGCTTGTATTCTTCAAATTTTATCTTTCTCTAGAGACCTATCCATTTCTTTACACCCAACTCAATTTCTCAAATTTCTCTGTCAAGTTCCCAAATAAAAATACTTGGAAAGCCCCCAAAGAAACACAACACAAGAGAGGCAAAAATTATTCTCCAAACCAGTTTATACATTTCATCAAAATCAACTCCTTGAAATACATATAAACTTAAAATAGGCAATGCTACCTCTATTATGTACATAAACTCTTATCGATACAAAAACTTTAGCCTTTAATGTATTTTTAAGAATGAAAATCTGTTTTCTCATGTCCTATTCAAATCAATAACCTTACATATTAGCATTGTTTTCCCTGAAATAAATATTTTCAGGGCTTTGGGGTACATCTGTTATGTGAATCATAAATTTTTGTCCATCTTTTAGGGTGACAAGGGCTTCTTGCCCCACAGGAAGGCTGAGTTTAATGGCGCTTTCGGTGGCTTTATCTTCCAATAATACCTGGATGACCTGAGGGGGAAATATTTCAAAGAAAAAGGTTAAAAGAGAAAGCATGCTATTTCCTGTTGCATAACTCACCATCTGAATTCTTCTACCACACGTGTGTGCATTTATTCCTCCTACAGGAGATGCTAATTTCTCAGGGGAAACACTGAGGATATGGTGAGGACTTCATGGAAAGAATCTCAACCCAGGATGGGCTAAGAGACAAGTGTGAGGAAGGGGAGCATGGGGTGCTCTTTAAGAAAGGGAATAGCTGCCTGTGAGGCAGGGAAAGCAAACAACGCGTCCCCTGTAGACATGTGACAGCCCAGATCAGCTATAAAAGTCAGGAGGGAGCTTGTGACATGTCCCTGGTCTCTGTGGCTTCAGCACTTGTCACTTCAGTTGCTGTCCATACGGATGCCACTTCTCAATTGCTATCAGTGCTGAGCTGAGGCGTAGTTGGCTCAAGGCCCATATCGACCATCCTCCACCATCCATTAAATATCTGTCAAGTCTCTTTTACCCACAGATAAAGGGAAAAGCATCTGTGGAAACAGTCACATACCCGAAACCATGCTTTATGTTGTCCTCCAGATACTAATAAAAATGGATGCAGATGAGCTAGGTTCACTCAGAAGTCGGGAGCTCCTTGCCTAGGCAAATGTTGGCTAAAATTGTACCTCAGCACTTTTGTTTCTTACTTTCTCAATTCTCTTTTCAAAAAATCTTGACCAAATGACAGAGGAGGGACAGGTAAGGTGATTTTTAACAACAGCAGGATTTATTTATTGTTAACAGTGGAGCTGATACTAGGAAGAAAGAGATGGTAAGTGTGGAGTGGAATATTTTTCTTTAGAATTTGAAGAATGTTCATGTACTACTGGCAACTAAGTCTGGATCTGATTTTTAATCATAGAGAAATTAATGAATTTTAATTAATCTCACAATTAATTAGATCATAAACATGTTTAAATTGTATGCATCAAGTTTGTAGGAACAACCTCATGCTTTTGTATTTATGCTTAGTATATTGTGCTCCCTATAGTGCTCGGCCTCATTAAACATGTTGTTTGGTTGGGCAAAAAAGAAAATTTTAAAGAAAAAATTGGTTAAATTGACACTCGATTGGGTATAAATTTGAGAGATTCACAGATTCTGATGTTAATTTAAGAGTCGGTTCTCATTTAAGTCTCTGGCCAGCGCAGTGAGTCTTCCTCTCAGAGACACAGGCTTATATGCCATCTTTTCCTTAGTCTTGCACCCAGGGACGACTGGCCAGTACTTGGACATGATTACTGTCATGCAGAATAGAGGTATTTTCTTGGTCTGATTTCACTAGTACCCCCTCAGTACGCTAAGAGAGAGGGACAAGATGACCTCGACTGAACTGTTAATGAAAGTTTATTTCTAACTAACCCTTTCTAAATTTAACAGAAACCATCACTGCCTAATGAAAAGATATTTCTCTTCTTTCAAAAACATGGTCTTCATCAATAACAAGAGCTACTTTCCAAAATATTTCTGCTGTTTCAACCCCTGAATAACCTAAATTGAAAACTGTGTTGTAGATTAAAAAAAAAATTCTTTATTTAATATCTGTAAATTTTTGCTTTATCCTTAAACACACCTTGGTATTTCATTATTTGGGACATTTCTAGAATGTAGAAGAGGGACAGATGGATACGCCAATCCAGAATGCTGACTTCTGTGGTTACGCTGGTGCAGGGCAGTGCTAAATTGCCCCAAGACAGCGACTACGCAGATGCAAGCTGAATGGGGCTTTAATTCGTGACAGATGAATGCAGATGGGCACAGAGGGTGTGTATTTTGCTGATGATGAGTGCAAATGCTGAATAATGAATGCAATGAAAATTAGACCAGTGGAACTTTTTTGGTGTTAGATTGTTTAATTCACTGTAGCTAATTCAGCAGGCATGCATGAACAGAAGTGGATTTAATTAATCCCTAATGCATATTACCTTGGATTATCTGACATTCATCTGCTTTTATTGCTTTATTTGTAGTTCAATTAAGTATTTAATATTGTCTCTATTGTTCCCACCAATTAAATATAGGTCAAACTCTATTGCAATCAACTCTATTGCAATCTTCAGAAGAACTAGAAGAGGACTGCGTAGAAAGTGGTATGGAAAGGTGCTCTGACTAGGCAGTTTTGTTGGAGAAATAATAATGACCAGTAGTTATGCATGCATACTAGGTTCTAAGAATTTTACTATTTAACTTATTTAAATCTAATAATAGCCCCATGGAATTAAGTACTATTATTTCCCTTTTGTAGACAAGGAAATTGAGAAATAAATTAAGCAACTCGCTCTCAGCTACTAAGTGGAAGGAAATTTGAACCCAGGAAGTTAAATGCCCATTTATTTCCTTGAATTATCAAGCTTAAAGATTTTAACTGACTGCTTTTGGAATTAAATCAATGGTAATAGCCTTTGGGAACAGAGAGAGTATGTGTTAGAACAGTCTCGGAAGAAGATCCATGGAGGTTTGAATCCCTCCTCTGCCAAGCCAGTAGACCTTGGAAACATGACTCAACCTCTCATTAGCCCCAGTTAATGAAATGGGGGTAATGATAACACCCTATCACTGGGCTTCTGAAATGATACATTTAAATGTTCAGCATAGGGAGCCTTGCATAAATAATAAATATGATTTTTATATTTTTCAAGATGCATCACAACTCCATTTTTTCAAAACCATTTCTATTGAGGCTACTGAATATGCTCTTTCTTTGAGACCAGTGGCATTTTCAGCACATACCACTCAGTCGAGTAGTTAGTATGGTCTAGCCTTGACAGTTCATCTCCAGGAAGGCAAGACCCAGGCCACCCAGATATTCCATAACACTAATTGTGCCAGGTATTTATTGAAGCCATACTGATCAACAGCTATTATAATCGCTCCTGGCAAAATGACCTGAAGCAAAGATGAATTCTAGAATTCTTTACTGTCTAGACAATGTGGTCTTCATGGGTTTCCTGAACACACTGTGGCCCTCATTTCCCCCAAGACCACTGTTTGGGAGTGGGGCCAGAATGCGTTATTACCTTATTGCCTGTGGTGCCATCCACCAGGAAGCCCAGGACCCTTAGAACTAAACTGTTTAAACCCATGGTGCACCGGCTCTGACTTGTATGTTTCAGCAACACCTGCTGTGGTTCTGCACTTGGACTTTCACACTCCTGAGCTGGTGAAGAATCCGGAGGTTGGAAGAGTGCCTGGTCTGGCTGGCCAGGAGACTGATCATCTGGCAGCACTTCCTTGAGACTTCCCACACTGTCCTCCTCCTCTTCCTCTTCTATGCACGACTGAAGTATATGGATCACATATTCCAAAAGCAGCAAATGAAACAGATGCCAGGAACCTACATTTAAATAACAACCAACAATGAATAATTAGATAAATAGACAGGCAGACAGGTGGACAAACAGATAAAGCACCATGGGACTTAGAACTCTGCTGGGACTTTTAACTCCTGTGTACTAACTAGAGTCTCACGCCGTTCACTGACCCTGCAGCACCCTGGGCAGGACCCACTTCTATCGCACTATACTCATAGAACCCAGCAAGGCAACTTTTGGCAAGAGAGGACCTAGAGCTAGATATGAATTTGACATAGGCCATGGTATGAATCTGAAACCTGAAGGAGAGCAAAACAAGTCGATGCTGTTCTGAAATAGGTTCGAATTAAAGGTCCTTGGAAACAGTTTGGACAAGAAATACACTCTGACTCTCTTCTGTTTCTCTGAAAGCAGGAGCTAGGCCTCCTATATGGAAGGTGCTCTCCCTTTACCAGGAGGTAGCCATGCATCAGAGACCGGGAAGTTAGAACCCAGGAGGCTGAAACAAACTTGTTACTTGCTCACTAATTTCTACACCAAACTCAAACGTCTGTCCTGTCAATTCTCACATTTATTATCTTTTTGGGACACTTCCTGAAGTCTCCCATTTTGGGTTTTTCTTCTGTTAACCTGTCTTTAAACATGACAGTTTGTTATTAGCTCAGCCAAAGAACCTAAAAGGGAAGAAAGAGAACAAACATATTCTGGTCTGTAAGCCCAGCTAGTGTGAGGTGGGAGAAAGGCAAACTACAGGGAAAAGGAAGATGGCCATCCTAGAGCTGGGCACAGTGCCCTCAGCCTTCCGTGGCTGTGATAAAGAAGCCCGGGAGGGTGATGTGGATGCAGAGAGCAGGACCTGCTGCCGCTGTCATGCTGGCAATATGGGTCTTTCCCTATTGCCTGTCCTGCTGTGGGAAGTAGGTCGGGCTCTGGCAGAGGCTCAGCAAGATGAATCCTCTCACGGGGCCAGGGACGGCCATCGTTAGAGGGGTGTATATAGGAGAGTGGCAGGCAGGGGACTATGGCATTTACTGCTCTAAATCTCTTTGGGCTTTCCCCCAAAGAAAAAGATAATTAATGTTCAGCTGAGAAGCACAGGGGGAGATCTGGCCTACTGCAGTTGTAAAAAGATATTTTTTTTTAATGAAGATAAAACTACCACTCTTACACAGATATAAAATCAATGTAAGTCAAGGACTTTGTATCACTCACTAATTAATGAGGGAACTAATATGATGTTATAATGGTTTCAAAGGAGAATTCAAAGTACTAAACATACACAGACGGTAAAATACACTGACACTGACTTATAAATAATGCCCCACAGATCTGTCCTCAGGGCAGTAATCAATCACATTTACCTGATAAAACTAGTTTGTATTTCTATGGAAGAGAATCATTTACATTATCATCAGTGTGTTACAATTTACACAGTTGAAAATTAACTCAAGGACAGTGAAAGGTGGAGATAACCTGGTTGAAGGGTATGCTGAACCTTTTTATCCATTTCAAAGCTGTTCGTTCATTTCCAGAAATTTTTTGGTCCGTTTCAAAGTCTTATACATTGCTCATTATAATTCTCTGACAAATCTGTGGTGGGAGATAACTGGCCTGTCTGGATGGGATGAAATGACCTGGTCTGGAATAAGCCTGTTCAACACCTCCTGGTCCATTTAACCTTGAGAAACCATGGTGCATGTGAAAAGGAACACTACTGGCATTAACACTTGATACCACATGAATATCCAGAGAAGGCAGACCAAGGAAAGCAACAGTAGCTACAGGGCTGGATTTCTTTTCATGATTGCACACGAACACTGTCCTATCATTTTCTCCTGCAAGAGCATTAGCATAAGGCAGGCATTTTGGACTCCATTAAAGGGGAGAGCCTCATTATAAATGGGTGTTGCCTATATAGAAACTTATAGCAGCGACCCTCAAAAGAGCTCCAGGGTGTTTGCACAACTAACCTAGAAGAGGGCTTGTCTCTTCCTCAATATTATACCTACCCCTGGCTGGGGATCAAACTCAGGACACAGGCCACTCGATAGCTTCATAGTACTGAGACCTTTAACCCTTGCGTCACCCGGGAGGCCCTCTAAACATCTGCTTTTCTTATGCCTTTTGAACTAACCCTCCTTCCCCTTGAAGGCACAGGTCCGTATTCCATTCCTTAAGTTTAGGATGGAGTAATGTTTTACTTGCTAGACTTCAACTGGTTTCTCGTAACTTTGGGGCCCTCATGCACCTGAAATTAGAGTTTCTCCTGTTAATCTGCCTTATGTCACCTTAGTTATTAGACCAGCCAAGGAATCTAGAAAAATAGAAAAAAAAAATTCTCCTCTACAGCACATAATACAAAAACAAGAGGAGGCTGCCACATGTCCAGCATTGATTGATGGGATGGGCAGCAAGGTGTGGCCTGTCTGAGCTGGAAATGTGTGTGCCTCTTGGAAAATATCATTATGGTTTTGCATGGTTTTCTGCATCTGTGGTATGTTTTCAATCAAAAGATTAAAAGGAGATGACTAGATTCTACATAGCAATCTGGAAAATACTTACGCTATAATAATGGTCTGAGGGTACTTTATAAAGTGCTTTGTGCTCTCTGACTTACCGAAACTCTCTCTGTGGCAGAGAGTCATGGATTTGCTCACGGCAGTGAGAAGGAAGTTCCATCTTAGCTGGAAGCTGGCGGCCAACTTGATAAACTCCTCTTTGCTTCTGCTTGGCTATTACATATTTGTGAGAAAAGATGCTGGACTTACGACAGAATCAAGAAGAACATGTTTTCAAATGCACGTTTACTCATGCAGACATTGTCAAGTTGTCAAATGAGAAAAGGAAGAAGGAACCGTAAGGTGAGAGCGAGGGCCTATTTCTGCTCTTACTCTATCTCTGGGAGGAGGCAGAAAATTTGCTCTTTTTTTAAATTTTGCAATCCCAGAAATTAAAAAAAAAAGAGGTCACTTGGCGAGAGTGACAGAAACACCAAGGGGCAACCTCCCGGCTGCGTACGTGGCATTCACCATGGAGTGTCAGTGTTCCTTGGACATTTGCTGAGCCCGACCCCAAAAGAGCAGCACAGTGCTGGTGTAAAGAAATGGTGATTATTTTGGAAAGCATGTGGAGGTTGCCACCATGGCTTGTGAATTACCTGAGGCCTGGAAGGACCCAGGCCTGCAGAACAATGTCATTTAGTGGCACTAAACTGAGTACTGGTGAGGCGCTTCGATGTGCAGACAAGAAGCTCCCCCCATCTAGATTGAGAACAGCTCTGGAGCACACTTGAGTGACTATTAAGGCACATGAATTTTCCATGCACATGGTGGAAGGATGTTGTAAATCCTCTCCCAAGTCTCATCCATGTGTGTGGGCCACTCATGGGCTCCGTGGGAGTGTCTGAAGGAGACAAGGAGAAATGGGGATGTGTCCTTTCTCATTTCTCTGTTTCTCTTCCCTTCTGCTCCCACCGAAGGCCCCCTGATGACTGTTCTCGGCTTGGGTGGGTGTGACTGTTGGGTGGTAGAATCCTTGCCCCAAGACTTCTGTCACCTGACACTGGGCTCTCTGGGGGAACCCTGGTGTTCAGCAAACACAAGGAGACTTTCAAAAAGTATTGCAAGAAATCCTCTGGGCCATCATGTTCTCCACACAAACATTTAGAACCGAGCCATAAACATTATTTAGCATTCATTCCTCTGCTCACCACCAGTTTGCGTTTTCATGTTCCTACATTTAGAAATTATCCTTGGGTCCAAACTACATGAGGAAGTGTTACAGGTGGTCCCCAGGAAAAGGGAAAGTTCCAGGTTCCCTGCCCCACCCAGGAGGGTGGAGCTGAGCAGAGAAAGAAGAGAAAGAAGAGAAAGGAGAAGGAATCTGAAGAAGGAAGCAGGATGGAGAGCCAGGAGGAGACCTGAGGAAGCCACATGGAGCAGCGAGCATGTGATGAAGAAACCGTGCTTGTTTCCTGACCCTGGGCTGGTTAAGGCAGATGTAGGTGAGATGCCTGTAGGGAGGTGACTATGGCAGTGTTTATATTGATTTTGATTTTGCTCTTTTGCTCCCAGATTTGTCTGGCTATTTCTGACCCTTTTCCATGGGTCCCGGCCAGAAGGTGCTTTACTCTTATGGCGGGTTTTCAGGCCTTGCTTTGGGCCAGTCCCTTTCGGGTGGACTTTTGCCCACGATGGGATGGGTCACTTCAGGTGTTTGATTTAGAAATTAGATTCTTTGTCTTCTGTATTGTATACTCACTGTATTAAAGTCCCTTTTCATTAAAGTTTTATATGTTTTGTCTTGATGTGACGGATGGCAGAACTGATTTGGAGCAGGCAGGTTTGGGGGTTCAATGGTGTCCCTTTCCCTGTCTTGTAACAGAAGGACTGGGAGAATGAAACACATGACAGATTCAATATTTCTCTCTGCGAGCAGCCTGCAGATGCTAACAACTGATGCCATTAGTCATTCCTGACAAGCCCAAGGGTTTATATTTTAGCAGCCTGGGTATTTTATTGACAGTGGTCTGTTTTTTATCAGCCAAGCTTTTTCTTCTTCTTTTAAAATAAAAACAAGTCCTTCAAAGGCATGCAGTTACAAAAATACCATTTTTCTAACATGCCTCATCTGTGAAGGCTGAGATAGGATGATGGAGACTTGGAAACACACAGTGTTAGGTGGCTTCAAATGCAGGGAGGCCTGTCACATTGGTATTAGTGGTCTTCATGAGCTCATCTTGGTTAGAAACTGAATGAGTATCCAAAACAAGGAGCAGAGGGCTGAAAGGTTCTATCAGTGACGACCCATCAAAGGAATAAATGTCTCTGTAGCAATGCAATTCTAGACAGGTTACCACTGTCATAAATGAGCTTTGCTAAAGGCCAACAAAGAGGAATAAAAACCATGCATTGTCAGGGACAATTACTTTCTAGAAGCAAAGAATGGAAAAACGTCTGCCAAGGGTTGGAAATGACTTTGTTTCTCCCTGAGAAGTTTTCTGGTTCATCTCTTTATGGTTAATGAACCCCCACTCCCTTTATGGTCTTTGTGGACTCAGTTTTACTTCTATCCTTTCTCCTGGGCTGGCAGGACAGGAATGTGGAAAAGTCCAGGTGGGGCAAGAAAGGGACAGAAAGCAATGCAAGCAGTAACTTAAAAGTGCTCCCCAGCCTAGGGAAGGGGGAGGCTGCTCCTTGTACTAGGCTCAGTCAGTGAAAAGATGTATTAACCAACGACTGAAAAGCCACCACACATCAAATTCCCAGTTTTCCCCCAACAATCTCTTTAGTTACAACATACCCTCTAAAATCGATGTAATTTTTAAGGGGGTGTGTGTCTCTCCCAGGACTATATTTTTGAATTGTCTTCCTGTAGTTGTTTCTGAATAAGCCCATTTTGTTGGGGAAATAATGGGTGCTTTTTGTTTGGGGTCAATAGTCTGCTCCTAAAGAATGATGGCTAATGTAGATGATGATGAAAATCAAGTTATGAAGTAATTCCCAAGTGGCATGCATGTCAACCAGAAGCACTACCCGTGTCAAACACAAGTCCACCCATGTATAAAATCAAGTCTTCTCTGATTGTGTGAAATCAAGCCTGACATTTCACCGGGATGTCCTGCAACAACCCTCAAACACTACTCTTCTCAAACCGACAAAATCCTCCTATATATTCTACATGCACACACACCATGCTCGCCTGCACACACACTCCCCTGCGTGTGTACATGTACACTCATGCACTCTCACCTGAGCACACACACTCACTTGGGCACACACACACACCTGCATGATGTGCCAGCTCCTGATTCTGGTCTTGCTTCAGGAGACCCCACCTCCCCATCCTCAACATCCACACCAACCTTGACATTTTCTGACCAGAGAACTCTAGAGAAAACTCTTGTTCACCAGCCCCCCCGCCCCAGGTAATGGACACAAGGTGCTGTAATTTAGCTACAATGATCCACACCTATTTCTTCCCTTTAAAAGACATCATGGTTTTGTACCTGGAAGACAAATGCTTGGAGATTAGAAGACAGAGAGTTCAGGAATACACTAAGATCTGTGGATGTCCCCAGCAAAGAAATTAAACTGCTTAAACCTATAAAGAAAGAAAACAAACAAAAAGATGCACAGCTGCTCTGTAGGTATTTGTATACTAGGTAACCTAGGATAACATCTGAATAATAGTTCAAAGGAATTCCCTGGGGCTTCACACTTGCTTGAACACAAAGGATGTATTGCAAGGTTGGGTTTGTCACCTCTGTGGTCATCTAATGCAAGATTGTACAATCTCACCTCTCAGGAACCGCCTTTGCCGCTTGCTGGAATGGACTTATTTTGAAATAATAACTCCACCTTGTAATTATACAGAACCTGGCTTCAGATGAGCTCATTGCACAATGCAGACATGACCTCACCTATCCTTGTCGTTTTCATGAAGGGGTAGTTTATTCGTGAGCTTTATGTGATGGTGGACATCAAAGCCAGAGCGGGAGGGATGTTAAGTGCCTCGCCTGGGGTCAGACACTCAGCATAGACCTGAAGGGTGGAGTCCCAGGGCGTGACGTGGGTCTCAGGTCATTCACCTGAACAGGCAGCATTTTCCACCCATTTGAGTGCCATCATGTACAAGCAGGATTTAGAAAACTCAGTGGGTTGCCATGGCCGCAGGTGAGGCTTGGTCACGGTTCATCTGGAAGATCTTTTGGCCAGACCTCAAGCACTTGGCAGTCAGGTGTCAGCAGTTGCTACCTGTGCACCGTCTTCCTGCTGGCTCTTTGCCCGCTTGCAAAAATACATGAGGATGTCAGTGGAGCACAAGGGCCCCCCGATCAGGTCAGTGGGAACACGGGAGAGACACTCATGCCCTTCTAGCATTTCCCAGGGGCAGGCTATTGGCAAGAGAGATGGGATCTCTGGAGGAGGTACCAATCAGCACTCTGCTCATAGCTCTGAAGCTGCTGGGGAAAGACCAAACTGACGCCACGACAGGCTTCAGAATGCTTCTGAGCCAGCCAGGCCTAAGTTTCAGTTATGAACAAGGCGCCAAGGCTGAGTTTAACAGTAAATGTCCTAATCTTACTCATCCCGTAGCAACAGCCAATTAACAAGTAACCAGTACATATCAGGAAATGTGGGCTGAGTAGCGAAGGTCACATCTTACATGCATAGACTAACCGGGTTAAGACAAGATAACTTTGTTCAATGTCAGCCAATCAACATACTGCTGAGCTAAAACTCCCTTCTGCTGAGCTGAAACTCCCCTCTTTTGTAATAAAAACCCTGCCTTCCCTGAGTTTGGGGCTCTCAACTTCAGCTGCTGCGTCGTGCATGTTGGGAGCCCAGGCTTCAGCTTGCAACGAAGACCCTAGTGTGCTTTTCATCGGAATCGGCTCCTTGGTGGTCTTTGGGAAACTCGAAATCTGGCACAACATTGGTTCCCCTTTTGGCTGCGGGGCTGGCTGGAAGGGGAGCATCCCAGAGGCCCGAAGATTTGGAACGGTGGAGATAGTCACGGGTAGGAGGTGGAGGAGGCAGAGGCCATTAACCGGAACGTATAGACCTATTTCAATATTTTAATAACTGATCGGTCCTACCAAGGTTGGCCTACTTCAAGGTTCAAGAAGAGGACAGATGCATGGTAGGCGCTGCTCTTAACTCTCTGCTGACTCCACATAGCTATCCAGGGGTGGTCACATATGCCAAGGGTGTGGCAGGTGGGTCAGGACCATAAGCTGCAGCTGACACCTCACAGGGGCAGAAGACAAGTGTAGGAGGCAGTTTTTACATAGTTAGTGCACCAGCGCCAGGTAGGCCCAAGGACATAGAAGCTCCCAGACCTGCCTGCGGCCTCTGGGCCTGAGGGAGCACAGAGGAAGCACTGTGGTCACCAGGGGTTGTTCCCACAACACCCCCACAAATGCCTAGACACTGGCCCACAGCGGGGGAGGGAGCCTAAATGTCTACCAGCCCCCTTCTAAAGTAGCTCTCAGGTCTCCCTTGAGAGTGGAGAGCTCCTTCCTAACCTCCTCTCCCCTCCAGATACATAATGACATCAACAGTCAGCTCCCCCAGCTCTTTGTGGAAGGAAGATTTTTTTTTCTTGAAAAATGAAAGCAATTATCAGGCAGCAAAATGAGACTGTCCAATGATGAATACACTTGCTTGTAGAGTCGTAAAATATGGTAAAAGCACCATAGATAAACTACACACCGTTAAAACTACTAGTTGATGATGTGAACAGTAACAACAGCAGACTGATAAGGCAGAGGGCCAACTCAATCTAATTCAGACAGGGCACCAGAGATATCTTGAACCTGTGCATGTACAAGATTGATGCAAAAGTTCTCTTTTCACAGAAGATATTCCAGGTTGATGTCCAGAAATAAATACCCGCAGGCAGCAGCCACATCCACCTGTTCACACATTTGCTTAACAAACATGCACTAGCACTGACAGTCCAACTGACACTTGCATTGACCTACAGGAGCCTTGGCTGGGGTCTGGGAGTGGGGTGGGGGTGTTTACTGTCCCTTGCTAAAGAGATGTATGAGCCAATAAATCATAATATCAAAGAGGTACATTTCACCTAATATTAAGAAAGCTGTGTATTAGTAATGGCCATAGCAGCCCAAATATATACCAATACTTCAATAAAGCAAGCTGCAGAAGGAAGATTACATTTCATCTCTATGTTGTTCTCCTGGTCATCTCCACCGCTCAGGTTACTTGGCATTGCTTTCCTAGAAATATCCAAAGTGCCTTGACTGATGATGGCATGCAGATCCGATTTCAGAATGTTGACTCTCCTGTTATTTTTCAATACCATTATCATAGTCTAAAGATAGTGGGGAAGCATAATATTGAGTTAAATCTTGCCCTTCTATTTTCCTCCTCCCTCCTCTCCAAATAAAACAAGTTTGTTTTCTGATTGTTGAGGGGGAAGAAAAGTGGGGTTTGCTGTTATCTATTAATATAAAATCCTAAGTCACAATTAAAATGTTTGCATTTCTCACATTCTAGAACTATCTGAAGATTATCAAGTAGAAGGCTTCTGCTCATATGCAGACCTTTTTAGGGTTCTCAGGGCACTGCAGTTTCTCCTTCCCCTACTTTTTATCCTCTGTACCCCTGTAAATGAGCCTGAACTACTCTAGAGAGGAAAACAGGGTGATCAAAGGTCTGCTAAGGTCAGTGCTGAAGAGGTAGCAGTATTGACTGATTTTCCAGGGAATGGCAGGGATTTGCTCTTGGACAATGGATTTAGCTGCTGGGAGCTAATCTCCTCAGCTGTCCTGCAGGGCCAATCTAAGCCTCACATTCCAGAGCAGCAAGGATGAGTCCTGCAGGGCCAATCTAAGCCTCACATTCCAGAGCAGCAAGGATGAGTACCCTCATACCAGCCCTGGGAGGAGGCACGAACGCTGCCTCCATTTTACAGATGAGCAAACTGAGGACACACAGTGTCACTCAATGTCCCCAGGTGATGGTGAGTGCAAAGATACAATTCAGAGCAGGCTCAGCTCTAGAACCCCAACTTGTCGCTCCAGTAGGCTTAGGATGAAATCTGGCAAGAGAATCTTTGCCAGCTGACCACACTTGGAACATGAACATGATGGAGAATGGGCCAGGCTGTAGATGCAGAGGCAGGAGATGACCCCAGTAACTCATAAGTTTAGAGAAAATTTTGTGCTGGAAGGATGGAACTGGTTAAACTAAAGACCAGACTGAGCCAAGCCTGAACTGGCACTGGTTTGGACCATAGCAATAGTCCACCCTGTCCCAATTTAGTGCCCAAGGACAGCAAAATAGATTCCTAGTGACTCACAAGCTGGCATTATAGCACCTTCTTTTTAGCCTTTCTCTACTATCCTTGAAGCCTAAAGCCATATAATCACTCTGAGAGCGGCAAGGTCGGAGGTGAGGAATGTGGCAGACTGAACAACTGAGTCCATGGGGCCATCCAAGGACAATAAAGTCTGTCTGCCTGTCTGTCCTAGGCTCTGTCCTTCCACCGCTGACACCAGCTGGGTCAGGTCAGCACCTCCGTGGGGCTTCCCCCTGGGAACTTGACCCCAGTGACCTGTTTGCCCCGCTTTCTCTCTGACAGGGCAGGCGCCACGATGGGGCCGCTCTCAGGAGCAGCAGAAGGGCTAGGCATCTAGCTGAGTGCCCAGGCCCACCAGCTCTCTAGGTCCTCCCGTTTGCCCTCAGCCCCCTACGTGCATGGAAACAGCCTTCCGGAAAGGGGGCTTCCACCTGCACTCGGGGGTCCTTGCAGCTACCCCTCTTCACTTCAGGAAACCACCTTGTTCTCGTGTCTAGTGGACTAAAACCTACCTTTGCCATGTTGGAAAGGTATGTCTTTCTTCGCAGTCTTTTGACAAACACAGTAACTTCTGTTAAGAACAATACATGTGGCCATTACTGACATTATAACTTCATGTTCTTGTGTCCAGTGGGGGAAGAGGAGCACACACAGGCTGGAGGCGCCACGCTGGCCATGGGAGGGACAGCTGCCGACTGCCTCGCACACACGATGCTCCGCGTCGCCCGTCTGCCCACTGGGCCCTTCCCCAATGACTGAGAGATTCTGGCAGGAGCAGTTTTGACGAAAATATTCTTAAGTGCCAGGAAACTTCTATAATCACAACATGTGTTCTCAAAGGTTTCTGATTTCTGCCCAACTACCCTGACGTCCCCCAATATTTTTTATTTCCACAGTGCTCCCCTGGAAAATAGTCAGAGGAAAGGAAAAGATATATAACACAAGGAATAGGGATATATAACACAAGGAAGGTGCTCTTCTTTTGAATGTATTCATCTGGCAAATATTTACAGGGCTACTTGTGCAAGCATAAATGTTTGTCGGGTGTTTGCCAAATCACTGGACGAAGGAGGACAGCCTCTGCTCTCAACGGGGGTTGCCTGCTGAAGGTGGGTCACTGGCATCAAGTGGCTGCCCAGCAGTACGGGCAATGCTCCCTGGCACTGTGAGCCCACATGGAAGAAAGTGAGGGGTTCAGGGTGAAGCCTGCTTGGAAGAACAAATCAGGGAAGGCTTCACGTAGAGGGTGACATTCAATTTGAACTTTGACATATAAGTAGGAATCAGCCAAAGGGCAAAAGTCAGAGGTAATCAAAGCATAGAGCAGAGCAGGAGTTAGTGCCTTTTGTGGACAGTCTTGGGTTGTTGGGGGGGCACGGAGGGGTCCCTCCAAGGATGAGGACAGAGATGAGGTCAGAGGACAAGCAGTGAGCAACTTTGCATATCAAGTGAGAGAGTTTACCACTGAGGCAGCAGGGGCCATGGGAAGTTGTCAGCTGGTCAAGTCCCTGGGTGTAGAGGGGAGTGAGAATGAGCCTGGAAGCAAGATGCTCGACTAGGAAACTTGAAATTACTTGCAGGAGAGAGACCCAGGGCTTGAATAAAAGGACCACAACAAACGGAAGCAGGAAGGCTTCTCTCCTTCCACACACCCCGACCACAGCAATTGCAGATGTCCCTCTCACTCTGGAGTAGCCTCCCCTGCTGCCTCCTTGGCTGGCAGGCCCAGTTTGGTCACCTGAATACTTCTAAGAGGTGAAGCTGGGATCAAGAGTTCCAGCATGAGTACTGAACACAGCTGGGTGGGGCAGGGGTCATGGGTGCAAATGTGACATGGTCCCATTCCATGGGCCCGTTCCACTGAGAAGACAGCAGTATGCAAAGAAAGCAAGACATGCGCAAAGCTTGGGAAGTGACTGGTGTGGTCCTGGAGGTAGGGGTGGCCTTGCACACACCCAAGAATGGAGGCAGCGGAGAGGTCTACAGGTCACGGTGGGGAATGTCACCACGGCAGGAGAGAAGAAACAGGTGCTTCCAGGACTAGGCAACATCGTCCTTGCATAACGGGCTTGTGTTGCATTTAAAGGGCTGTGGGTTGTAGAAATACAAACAGGCCAGATATGGGGAGGGCTGGGACAATCACCAGAGCAGTCAGGATACTGGTAGGAAGCCACTGTAGGCCTGATGCAGACAGTCATATTCAGAGACTTCAATCTGGCAGCCAGCTGGGAGGAAAACAGTGTTCTAGAAAGTCAACAGGCGCGTTGAGATCACAAAGGTATGAGTACCCAGAGGTGTGAGAAAGCTAAGGATACAGGAGGACTTTCTGAGGAGGAGCGGGGTTCTTTGAGGCCCTACTGGGAGGTTCCTTGTAGCACAAAGTGGCAGGTGGGAGGACGCTGGAGCAGAGCCCTCGTCAGCCCTCTTGAATAAACATGAGCTCAGGACCTGACTTTAAAAGGTGTGAACTGACCTGGGCTAGAGACACTGGCCAGGTCCACACCATAATTTGTAGGGGTGGGGGACAAGCAGAAAGCTGAGGAAAGCACAAGAGTTCATCGTTGTCACCAAGAAAAAAAGCCAGAAGATCTGAACAGATCAGGCATTGAGGATTATATTGACAGTGTAGTGAAAGGGGTGGGGGAAGAGTTACGCACATCAAAGAGGTCCTGCTCTGATCTCCAAATCAGATACTTCATTTGCTCTTACAGAATGTATTTATTTCATTGCAACCTACCTTTGAGCTTGGAGATCTGCAGCAGGGCTGGAAAACCTTCCAAAGCATTAAGAAGCCAGAGCTTAAATTTCTTACTAAATAACCGGACTGATTTTAGGTATTGAATAGAAACATCTTCTAAGAAGTCATGAAGGAGAACGTCTTCAATTCCCTACGACAAAAGTGTCAAGACACACTGGCTCTTGTCAAAGGTCACAAGTCAAAGGTCAAGGTCAAAGGTCACAAGTGCCACAAACTCAACAGAGCCAGTCCCCAACATGTCCGGGGGCAGCCACCGTGCAGCCCCAGCACTGCTCATTGTGTGGGACATCAGGCTAATCTGGCCAAAATTTAAAGTCTTACAAAGATTTAAAAAATTGATGACTGAGTCAAAATTTCAAAAATCTCCTGCTGGTTAATGTGGTGTGAATCAAACCAAAATATTCATAGGCTGAACCCACCCTCCAATTCTCAACCTTTGTGCTGACAAACTTAGAAGTACTAGATTGTTTCCTAAAAAATTAAAATCTGAGGTTCACGACTACCTTAAGGAGAACCCATTTCCACCACACAAAGTATATATGCATATACCTAACCCCCAACGTTCAATAATCATTTTAGTGACAAAACTTTAAAAACAGCTCTGGCGGTTATGTGTATCCCAGGTAATTATTTCAATTACTAAAAAGTGTTCTTCTCACCATACACTCTGACTTTTTCTTTACTTGAGGTAACTCATGAACTTGTTGACTTCAAAAAGAAAAGCTGAGTTTTAGGGAAGGCTCAAAAGATTTGTGCGCCATCAAACTCCCCATTTACTACTCAGAAGGCCAGAAATCCATGGAGCCTGCGGAGTGGGAGGGCTGTGGGTCTAAGCCCAGCATCTGATAGCAATTTCTGAATAACATACAAACTAATGACTCAAACATCTCCCTACCTTGTACAGCTGCACATCATAACACTTAAAGAGCTGGCACACATCAGGCAGTGACATAAGCATGACTGTGTCTTGTTGCAGGGATTTCCAGAAGGAAGTAAGCAAATCCTCCACCTGATGTAAGGAATAGAATGTATCTCTGAAAACTCATTTTGTGCTTAGTGAGACTAACCCCCCCTATAACTCATCCCAAATGATAATGGGATGAGTTTTATTCCAGTTAAGGTACAGCTTTGCCTATGAGCCTTTTCAAACTGTATTTGAGAAAGTATTCTTCTTAGCGACTAATCAGAGAGCTCCTGCTAGTTGGATGGGATAATGTGGAGTATCATTTTCATTAAGTTCTCTGGAAGGAAGACCGTTTCTGACCACAAGGGGGCTCCTGTTGATTATAATAGGATGAGGATCTGGCCACTGGGGCACAGACCATAACTTAAGAGTAAATGTAGACTGATTGACCCTGGCAATTATTTTTCAACTCAGGTGTAACAGTAAGTCATTGAAGAGGCCTCCTCCTTGACATCAAGTTAGAGCTCACCTCGGGACTATGTTAGCAAAAGGGGATTGGTGTGAGTCTACACAGGTGACTTCTGTCCACAAAATGGCAGCTTCCTTACTTTTCTTTTCACCCACATTGACTTTTTAGACTATCATTAAACTAGATGGTCCATGTGAGTTGCCAGCGAACAGACATTCTTATCTTTTAACAAGGCTCAAATGTTCTGAGGCATTGACTACTAGGCACGACCAACAACACCAGGCAAGGAGCTAATGCCCTAGCTAAGCTGTCCAGAAAGGGCAACTCCAGGGGAGGTGAGGGTGACCTGGTTTGTGTGCGGTATGTGTGTCTGTGTGTGTAACAGAGAGAGAGAGAGAGAGAGAGAGAGAGAGAGAGAGAGAGAGAGAGAGAGAGAGAGAGAAGGAGAGGGGGCAGGGGAGAGAAAGAATTTATAGGATGGTAAATGGCTAGATGAGGTTGATCCTCCAGTGGCTTAGAGACTGTACCTCATTATTCCCCTTAAAGCATCTCCCTTTTGATTTCTTTCCTTTAGAGAAAATAAACCTAGTGCCACAGTGATCTTGTAATGTCATACCTGTGAGCATCTTGCTGCCTTTTCCTGCTCCATTGAGTCTAATTGGAATTCTTGTTCCTACCCCATTATGAGTGTGCTGAACCTACTCTTGTCTTCCAGAGTTAGCAGCAACATGACTTCCTTTCTGAGCACTATTATTTTCCTCAAGGCACTAGGTAGTGTTTAATCATACTGAATTCTTTTCTAGATCTTGCCATATTACATTTATTGGCTTATATTGTTCCTTTTAGTACCACACTATACACTTTTCAAGTCTTGTGGAGAATATCTTCCTAGTTCCAGCACCAGTCACAGGTTAAGAATTAACATAATGCCTGATGAACAAATCCAGGAAAGAAGGAATCACTAAGTATCTAATGTGGGTGGATGTATACTGCAAGAACAGGACAGAGCTACTTAGAAGACATCATGGCCTCGCCCTCAGGTTAATGCTTTTACACTGAGTGTGTACTAAATGTAGTCATGCTGAGTGACTATTACCCAAAGTTGAAATACTTAGAACACTGAAGCATCAGTGTTTTATTTACTGCCTGTATTACAAAAGAAGAAACTCAGAATCACTTAAAGGATTGATTTATGTTTTTCATAGTTAATTCTAGAATAAAATCCATAATTATAATGCTCATAGACGATCACCCAGCTTCAAAGTCTTACTTCTTTTACAGTTAGCATCTATTAATAAGATGATTTTTTGGCATCATTAACAATTCCAGAGTGAATAATATTACTAATACCTAATTCAAAATCAGCCAGCATTAGGGTCTTTAAAATAGCTGAATTTCTATTTAAATTGTAAAGTTACCCACATTAGCATCTTGGAAATTTTCCAAATGATTGAACTGAATAAGAAACTACCTTCCAGAATTCACTTAGTATAAACTCAGTTTTAAGCCCTTAACTGTAGTAGATACCCATTGAGGAGGCCTTTCAAGAAAAGAATGCTTAACAAGTCATAAATGTTTGTATTTTATACATAAAGCCATACCCTCTCAAGTTCTTGGTTCCTCACATTTTTCAAAATGTCTTGACAATAGTTACAGTATTCATCAGCAAGGAAGGCCATCTGTGAAGGATATGGAAAATTATCTCAGTTTTAATCCACTTCAAGAACGACCCTTTTGAAGCCCTTATATGTTGCATGTGTTGTAACTTTGAAAATAGCTGAGCTCTTTGGGTCGCAGTAATTTTTCATATGTGGAGTGATATATACCTTACTGGTTAAAGTGAAGGTAGCTTCACTTTTGAAGCTGTAACTCATATATTTCCAGGATCTGTAACCCTATGATAGAGGCCCTGATCTCTGGCACATTTTGCCCAATATCCCGAAAATTCTTCTCTATTTCCCTTAGTTCCAGTTCCTAGAAAATCCATTTTTCTATTTCCTTCTCTACCATGCAGAAACCCTCATTCTAGAAGATGACCAAGTGGTCCCAGATGGACCCTTTCTATAGGACGTGAGGGGACTACCTGGACCTCCTGACCACACCAAGCCCAGGATGGAATGTTGGTCCTCTCAGGTCTGGGAGAAAGCAGTTATTACTCACCGCATGCAATGATGATCAGAGGCAATAGAAAAGGACATTGCCTTAGGTACCAAAGGTGTGAAGTCAGTCTCCCCATGTATGCAAACCTACCATCTTGTAGGAGTACTTCTTTGCCAGTTCTTGCTCCCAGAATGGACATCTCTGGAATTCAGAGACAGGCGAACCTCCTGGGTCTGTCTTTACTGGTGAATGATTTTCACACTAGAAGACATTTACATAATGGATTATACTTGAAAATAAGCTGCATGCTCTTGCATATAAACCATATAATTATCACATCGCTTCTATAAAGTTCTATGTAACCTTTTTATCCACACTGCTGGTCACATTATTGATCCTAGTAACTTTCCCCTGATTTCATTCCAAATGCTGTTAGCCCTCCTCTATAATTCTATGAACTATGGTCATCAGGGAGGACCTAGAATTTAATATATTAGTCAAATGTACCACTCTTATGGTCACAAATTACAAGTGACATTTAGTAACATACAATAAAAATGTCACACACTAATAATTTAATGCCACAAATGTATTTATATAGCTCTTGTCCATAGAATTGTCCCTCCTTGAACTCAAGCCATATCCTGCTTGGGTCCTATATTATAAAAATGGCTAGCTGTACCAGAAATCCCAGAGCTTACCTTACCATTTTATCACAGAGTGATAAAATGCTTCCACTAAGAAGGAAAGAGGTAACGTGGCAGGAGGTAAATTCAATGTTCCTCCCTGTGTCACCCAGGCTGCTGTCCCCTCTGAACTGGATAGGCATAGCACTCTTGGTCAGAATAAAGGATGTTAATTGTTTAAAGATTTATTTATTTATGTATACAGAACTGGGGTACGGGCCGGAAGTGCAGGGGCTGTGTGAGGATTCAACAGAGAGAGTAGGGAGCGGAACAGGCAGATTGATGAAGTACCTACCCTGCTAAGGGTAACAGTGGGCAGGTCAGGAGAGGTCTGCCACACTGTGTGGGTCAGCTCCCTGGCTGGGGATCAAACTTGTGCTGCAGTGGCTTTGGAGAGTTTCATAGAGCTGTACTTTAACTTGTTGAGCCACCGGAGAGCCCTTAAGGATGTTAATTTTATTGAAAATGATTTCTTCAGGATTTTCCAGAATCTCTTCTGAATATTCCGTTTCAATAGAGTAGGATGAAATCATTCCTATGAGTTAGAAATTGAGCAGCAAAGCATTCCACATTGGCCTGTATCTGGCAGGAGGCCTTTCCTCTTCATTCTCTCCAGCCTAACAGCTTGCTCTGTGACAGTGCATCTCAAGATCAGGATTTCATCTTCACTTTCTCAGTTCTGTGCTCACTGAGTCCATAATAGCCATACTGAGCTATTCGCGTTTATCTTGCTTAATAGATGATCTATGTGGATTTGCAGTATGTTCCTGCCTACCAGCCTCGTGAGGGCAGAGCAGCCTTCTGATCTACCAACAACCAATCTTAGGGATAGAAGGGGCACTCATTGCCTCCCCAATGGCTGGACATACTTGAGAGCAGGTGCCACCGGCTATCACCCAACATTGTGTCGAGGGGCAGGGAAGTTTAGGGATCATATTCAACAGCCTTCTTTGGGTGCCTGGAAAAATGCACATTATGCATTTGACTGTGTGAAGATGGCTGGTTAAATGCTCTTTGCTAATTGGTTTCGTTCAGCATTTTCCAATGGGTAACACTTCTAGAATAGGGGTGATGCTCAGCCTGGTCATCAAGAATGATGGGGCATTTTCATGGAGTTCACTAGCCTAAACATGAGGAATCCTCATTCTAACCCTAGATTTGAGTTTCTCTTATAGCCACTCTAACTACATCCACTTTCTCCACAACACACCTGACCTTTATCCACCAATGTTCCCCTCATGCTGATGGTGCTATTATCAAAACCAGTGTTTCTCAGTGTGATCCAGAATCCATCGGAAACTCTGGGGTTCATGTCCCTAGACCCTAATAAATCACACAAGGCCAAAAATCTACCCTTTTACTTCCCACGTGACTTCTATGTATACTCAAATTGAGAACAGCAGTTCCGAGCAGACTGATCTCTAACTCTATAGAAGAGTCTACATTTCAACATGGGAATTATGTCTCAATTTCACCTGCTCAAAAGTTATCGAGAAATGTCATTTTAAAGGTACTTAAGAAGTTACTATAAGGAGAAAGTAAAAGCTGCTACCAAAAATTAAGCAAGTTCATGCATTCTTAAAGTGAATTCTTTCAGGGCTCTGAAAGAATATTAAAAGTATTTAAAAAAAATCACAAATTGAAATCTTTTCTTGAAAATGTGAATAATCAGGATTCTAAAATGAAAGTAGGGTACAGATGCACTAATGTTTTAGTTTCTGCAGAAGGCATCTGGAAGGAATTAGGATTCTGTTCTAGAGAAATAATTCAGCAGTATGGCAAAGAATACAGTGCGAAATTTGATTTATATTTTTCAGATATATTAAATACAGTTTGGAATATTCAACGGACCCAAGAAGTATCATTAAAATTATTATCATTCATTTATTCCCCCAAGCACAGGAGATCGTATACTTGGGGTCAGCAACTAGAGCTATGATAGAGAACCTTTCCTATTATTGCCCTTGTAGGTACCATCTGCTTCCCAGGAGTTACTCCATAAATTGTCCTGGAGTACTTTTTGTCCTTCCTGCACCCTTGAAGAACGACTGCCCCTAAAGCAAAGATACCCTGCTATTCTGAAAATGCCTCACTGGTGTTGAGTGAAATGCAAATTCCTCAACCTGGTACTGACACACTGTCAACCCTCTGGACCTCATCTAGAGTGCAAGACACCCCAACATCCTCATCTCCATCTCCTCACTGCCTGCACACCTTCTGCATGAATGCAAGTGAACATCTTCAAGATGCACACCTCCTAAAGGGGAGCCCGGTGTCCTGTTAGAGTCATCTCAAGGACAGTGTAGCAAGTCATATAATGTCCCCGTCCCAAAGATTTCCACATCCTAATCCCGGCTTTACATGGCAAAAAGGGAATTTGCAGATTATGGTAAGCACTTCACTACAGGGAGGCTAACCAGTGTCATGGAGGTGGCCCCACAGTAATACAAGAAGCATTAAAAGCAGAGAACCTTTTCCAGCTGCTGAGAGACAGGACTCTGCCGCAGCTATTGGATTTGAAGGTTGAGAAGGAGCCCGAGCTAAGGAACACGGCAGCCTCTAGCAGATGGAATGGGCAAGGGTAGGTTTTCCACTAGAGCTACCAGAAGAAATGTAGCCATGCCAACACTTCATCTTAGTCTGGTGAGGACTGTGTTGGATTTGTGATATCCGGATAGCAAATAGCAAATCTGTGTTATTTTAGGCCATGAAATTAGGCTAAGTGGTTACAACAGCAGTAGAAAACAAACACAGGCCACCTCTTCCATGAAGCCTTCCCTAATCCCTCTAAATTCCAGCACCACCTTCCTTCCTCCCTCCCACTTTGGAGTTCTCAGCACCGAGAGTCTGCTCTGCCCATTTGACCAAACCAGTTGTGTCCTGTCTACTTTAGCTTCCCAATTATGAAAATCATATTCTATTCAAGGTGTATGTTTTGCTTATTTATTTTAACTTTTCTTTCATACCCCGTCCAGCCTACAAAGGGACTGGTCACCACATAGGCCTGTAAAGGGCTTTCCATTCAATGACACTTAGTGGAACGGCGAGTTAAAACACAACACTAAGTGGAACGGCGAGTTAAAACACAACACTAAGAAGCTAAAGCCACTGCAGCATGAGTTTGATTTCCACCCTGGAGGTGACCCACATGGTGCAGCAGACCTCTCCTGACCCGCCTGCTGCTCCCATCAGCAGTGTATTTCAGTCAGTCGGCCTGTTCTGCGCCCCACTCTGTCTCTGATGAATCCTCTCACTATCCCTTCACCTCTGGCCTGTACCCCAGTTCTGTATGCATAAATAAATAAACCTTTTAAAAAAATACCAAAGTACTGTTTTGTCCTCTTGGCCAACTAATGATGTCATAGACTAGCTGTTAGTAATTCTGGTGTCCTAACTTAAAGAGTTATAACTGTCATATTGTGACACCTTCACACAAGCTTGCTGCTAGCTAAGCAGTACACCTATATACCTTTATAAATTATAACAAGACAAGACATGAAATCGTTCCTGTGCAGCAAAACAGTGTGCTCCTTGAGAAAGGGAGAGGACCCAGCAGGTGAGTATACACCTCTGACGGTGTGTAGAATGGATGTGTGGTGAAGGTTACACAGAATATTACACACAGGAAAATAGTTGTGGCTAATTAAGCAATTACTGAATGTTTGGGGTCTATTATAGTAAAACTTACCATTCCTTCTTGCTGGATAATGCTGCTATAATTAGTAGATTTTTCATAAGCCAAGAGTTCTCCACTGTGACAAAACAGATAACAGAGAAATAATTTTAGTAAGATACCTGTTTCTGAGTACAAGAATAAAGTTTGTTTTTGCTGCAAGGTTATTTGATGGGGGTATAACTATTATTTCAAAACCCTCCAGCATTTTTCTATCCAATGAGTGAACATCACCTGCTTAGAGTTTTTAGAAATCTATTTATATAACTGGGACAACCATGTATTTACTTTTCAAAGTTTACCCCCTGTAGAAGCAACGACATAATATCATGGGTAGAACCTACTCCTGTGAGAAAAGAATATCATCATGGAAATGAAGTCTTGTGTTTTCTTTTTTATGGTTTTTAAGACAATGAATTCATAAATGTAATCTCCTCCATACTCTATTATATAATGAATAAATAAACAAGCAAATAGGCAAGCATGCTTGCTCATTTTTTCTTCACACAGGATGACAGATTGAGGGGTGATGCATGGAGAGACAAAGGCAGAGAATTTTAAATGTCTCAGGAATTCTATTTGTCACATCTCAATGATATCTTGGTTAGGGTAGACAAAAGTAGTCATTACTAAAATGTGGCTCCAAAGAAATGGCCTTGCTGTAAAAAAGTGTTTCTAGTCCAAAGGTCTCTTTCTATGGTTCCCAGGGCCTGCAATGCTTTAATGGCACTGTGAGGCCAGAGAAAAAGGCTAAGGCCACAACACAGTTGTGACCTTTAAGTGAGTCAGCCCAGTGAGATCAGCTGGGTTCCTGGTGAGGCTGCTCCCTCAGTTCCTGTACCACTGGGCCCAAGACAGGCCTGTCCAGGATGTTAAAATGAGTAACCGCTAGGGGAAAGTTAAAGTCCTCAGGAGGGCTAAGGAAAGGTCCGTTGGGAATGGAGTGGAAGAGCAGACTGAAACTCCCACATTTCATGGGCACCCTTGTCTAACTCTGCCTCTATGTTGCTGTGTGGTCATAAGTGCGTTGCTTCAGTTGCAAGAGCTCAATTTTCCATTCCTATAAAAGGAGGGGATGGGGATTGATAACCCCAAGACCATTTCCAGAGCCTATAACATTTGCTCAGCCTCTCCAGGGCTTACATGATCCTGAGGAAATTCTTGCTGGGCCTCAGACAGGGCAAATGGAGTAAAATTCTGTGTCTTCATACCACCCACTTCAATATGCAGTATGGATGAGTATGAGGAACACATTTTACTTTAATTAGTTTTTGTGATTAATTTGGCCAAGAAAGAGCTCTGTGTACAGAAGACTGAGGTATGATTTATGGCATATAATACATCTATCCCCTCCCCCCACCATAAAACCCATCAAATGCACTGTTAGCTTAATACACTTTTAGCATTTAATTTCCTTCTAGTCTAACTACAAATTGCATTCACATTCTTTGCTTTTGACATCATTTGTCATTAATCCAGGCTTTCATTTACATCATTTTGGCATCATAATTTGCCCTCGCAAATGAATCTAACAGTAGTGAAACAACTTGAAACAATTACAAAGGTAAGAGGATAAAAATGTAATAAAACTTAATTCATGTACCTTCCTTGTTTAGTGTCAGATTTCTGCACAAAGGTGCTTCATCTAATTTCTATTTTTAGAAATTAAGGTGCAGAAATCAAGGTGCAGAATGTAATTAGTTTGGTTTTGACTAGAAGATACCTTTAACTTGAATATTTTTATATGTAAAGTTTAAAAATAGTACATGTATGTATTCATACAAGGACACGTCATTATGATTTCAAAAAGTTTGACTTAATGTAATTCTGATTATACCAATAATATTAATTACTGAAATATACTGGGTACTTACCCATTACTAGGTTCCATATTTGCTTTACCTTAATTCTCACAACAATCTGACTAGGCAGGTAGATAATAATTATCATCCCTATTTTATATACAGGGAAAGAGAAACAACTCATAGAGCCTCACTTCCATTGCCTATTCTACTACTTCTTTTAAGACACACATGTGTGTGATAAAAAAACAAACAAACAATGCACGCAAGACGTAAGATTTTTGAGACTTAAAATGGAAAACAATCATCTTATTTTAAAAACTGGTTTGCTGAGCATTGGGGATTAGTCATTTTCTGCATTGGGGGTGGTTGGTTTTATAATACTTAACTGTGTCCTAACCCATTACATTTTATGAACAACTTAATTGCAAAATGATGACCTGGGGGGCACCTTAGGAAGTGCTGAAAGTTGACTCCTCCACATTCACCTTCTTGGGGGATCTCTCAGCACCTGGTGGTGAAGTCGTGTCAAGACAGCAAAGGGCACACGCATGGCGGTGGGTCATTAGGTGGGAGGTGGGCAAATGAGGGAACTTGAATGGATAAGAACCTCCCGGTGTGAGAGACCTTTGTCTGCCTTTAACACGTCTCTGGCAAGCAGGCAATCTAGGGTGTAATTCTCCATAGGTATGTTTTTTAAGACCTAGACGACAACCAGGTAATGCAAGTTTTTTTAAACTGTAACAAGTTCTAACCAGCCTTAAAAACCATCGGGTGGACAGGGCCAAAAAGTGGGTTGCAACACGGACACCTCATTAGTAGCTGAGAGTTAGGCCCTCTGGGGCACATCAGAACCCTGTTGGGGGCCCAGGCCTGAGGAGGGATTAGTACCCACCCGAGCCCCTCCAGCTAGCACGGCTACGCAGAAAGAAGGAAAGGACACTCTTGTCGGTGCTGGAAAAGCCTCCGAGGAGCTGCTGATGTGCTCTCTGACATCATTAGCCTGTGGTGCCCTCAACTGCCAGGCCGGCAGCTCCCTGTGAACTCTTTCCCTAGGGGTGGTGCGGTCTGGAAGATGAACCCTTTGCCTTTCTGCTTTGTCGGCACAACTTGCCAGCTGTGGGCCCACAGGCCTGGGTTCTGCAGGCCCTGGGCTGGCTGAGGCAGCCCCCTGAGCTCATGAACTGGCAAAAGAACAAAGGAACGGGAGAACAAAGGCGTGGAATGTAGGAGGCACAATTTTAGAAGCTTTTTAAAGGCCTTTAATATGCTAAATTGGAAAAGCTCTGTGTATGCACGTATGCATGTGCATGTGGAGTGTGTGTGTGTGTGTGTGTGTGTGTGTGTGTTGAGGAGAGGAGTGAGGACAACAGTTTCTATACCCCTCCTGAAAGGAAACATGAGAGTCTGAATAATTCAGCATTTACACTATCTAGAATAGGGATACATCACCTTGGGAAATAACAAAGTTTTAAGTATACTAACCAGGGATTTTCGCCTAGGAGGTAAAGAATGAGATTGAGTTCAGCAGAGTTGTTCTGGAGCCTCTCTCTCGCCATGTCCCCTTCTTCCCAGACAATAATGAAGCACTTTATACTTTGGCTTCAACTCTTCAGTGAATTTCTAGGTCAGCAATTATATCCAGGTCCAAGTCTCTATCTGGTTGCCAGCTAAACAAGATTGGAATCTGGGAGGCATATTCCCTGCAAAGCTGTGTTACCCTGGAGTGGGGAGCAGGGAGGGGAAACATTCTGGACTTTGTGAGGGTGTTCTTTTTCATAGGACGCACACTGCATATTTATAGTCATTTTCCTTTTTGTGTTAAAAGGCTTAAGTTTTCCATTTGTTTAAAAAATTCAAACCTCGATCTCTCTTTGGCTCAGAGCAGGCACTATTTCAGCAGTTTCAATGAACTTCATCAAACCACCCACCCCACCCCGGTGAAATGAATGCTGTTGACTAGAGAAACCCACTCCCCACCCTGCCATCTGCTCTTGGGCCACCCCTTGCAGGTGTCCAAGTAAGGGGAGCATCGTGGTTCTGGCTGAGGGTCACTCCCTCCACTACTCCAGTTGTGGAGGAATCATGTCAGGGACCTGAGCATCAGAAGTTTTACACCACTGGCACTTGGCAGGGGTAATACGGAGGAAACGGGGAGACAGGGTTTAGCAAAATTATTTAATTTTAATTGGTGGTGGCTATGAGAAGAAGCCAAGTTTCCTCCACCCCCACCCTACCCTCCTCTGCCAAAGTCAACCCTTTGCTACTAACCCTGATTCCTGCTTAAATCCATCTATGCTGATGCTTTCACTGGTGTTCCCATTTCTCTCATAATACAAGACCCAGAAAGGAAAACAAGATTCCCTCAAACAGCCTGCACAAGCTCGATGCCTCAGAGAGTCATTGCAGCACAGCAGGGATATTCCCCACTAAGATACTCCAGCAAGGCACACTCATTTAAAAAAAACAAGACAACAAAACAAAAATTTCGATGCTGGAGCCTCCCTGACAGCCTAGGGGTTAAGTCTCAGAGATGTTACCTCTGTGGCCTGAGTTTGCATACAGACTGCAAAGGACACTCATGGCACAGCAGACCTCTCCTGCCTCCACCACTGGCCCCCTCAGCAGTGGATTTCAGTCGATCAGCCTGGACTGCTGTCCCTGGTGAATCCTCTCACCTTATCCCTGCATCTCTGGCCTACCCCTCTGTTCTTCAACATTCAGATTCCAATCTTAGGCAAACAGATAAAGTTTTGTGAATTGGGCCTCGGGTGCTACATATGAAAACAAAAGCTTTACTGGGGCATTAGACTTCAGGAAGAATGAAAATACTTCTGTGAGTTTGCTGGGAGTTCCCTTCTGGGTTTTAAACACCTGAGAGACCTTGCTGTTAACAGCGGCTTGAGAATGCCCCTCGAGCAGACGCCGCCACCAGCTTGTCTGTGGGGCTGATGGCTTGCAGGTGCATTGTGGCCTGGCGTCTCCCGTGGGCCTCCTCCCGTGCTGGGCGGCCCTGCCCATTGGCTGTATTGCTGTTTCAACATCCACACAGATGAGAGTGCAGGAGGGAGCTTTGAAAGAAAGGAAAAACCTGACCTCTGAGAAGACAACATGGGTGTGAGCAGAAGAAATAAAGCCTCTGGAGACATCACCATGAAAGTGCACAGGGGGAGACTGCAGGGGTGCTTACAAGACCCACCATCTTGTTTTTTCCTGGACTATGGGATCAGACAAGGTGCACTATTTTTTTTTTTTTAAAGATTTATTTATTTATTCA